TTTTGGAGTCATTGAAGCTTGATAATCTTATAACGTAGGCGAGTCAGAGTCACATCTCTGTGAATGAGTGAACGTATCTAAAGGTCTATTATAAAAAATTTCGCTATTTGATTGTCAAATACACTTATCAATAGATATCAGTATTTAGTTTTAGTGGTTAAGCTTCTGTACGTTAACTTTATATTATGCAATGCAATTTCTTATTTTGCTCTCCAATTTACTATTTCGTTAAAGCACTTCGGAGATATAGAGTTAACTCTCATTATGTATTTTCTACCACAAAAATTGCGTCATCTGCAAATTTAGTTATATGTATATGTATTCTATATGCAGGTGACAGTATATTGAAAGAGTAGACTAGAAAAAATGAAGTTTAACGTGCAACTTCATTTCTTCTAGTCTATTTTGGCAAACAGCAAATCTTGCATATCTGCGCATAATGCAAGCAAATCACATTTTGTATAGAAATAAATAATTAATATAAATTGAAAATTAAAATGAATACAGAATTAAAAGAAATCATAAGAATATTGAAATTTCTTCTTTTTTTCCCAATTTTCAATTTATGAAATTTTTAAATTTTGTTTAAATTTTTGTTTACATATGACTTTTGACATATGATTGCAGTATTCGTTAGAATTTCCAATGAAGGTTCACAATAGTTCGCTTATTACGTTGATAACACTGTTCTTTGCTGGCCAAAGTATTTGGCCAGTAAACAACTATTGGCTTAGATAGGGAAAATAATGTTGTTGTATTGCGTACATGTCAGCCAGTATAGGCCAGCAACTTGCTGTTTTGCCGCACTTGCGAGCCACCGAAAACGCCTATTATTAAACTATTGTGTTTGTGTATTTATCATCTGATATCATTTTATTTAGATATAAAATTGTTTATTGGCTAGCAGACAAACCATATGAAAAAGCTTTTAGTTAAAAACTTCCAGCATATATTTCTTTCTATTTTTTAAAACTTTATCAGTGCTTAATTTTTGTAAAAAAGCAAAAAATTTTGGTTTATAATTAACTTATTACAATTTTTTAAAACAAAACATTTACAAATGTTCACAAAAATCAACATATGTATAAAAATAGGCCAATTTATCACAGTAAACATTAAATATAATATTAATTATTTTAAAAATTTTAAAAACATTATTTTTTTATTTTAAAACAACCGCTTAGACGGAGTATTGTCACAATAATAGGTTAGTATATATTATAGATAGGTTACAATAGATTATTGTGACATTACTCCGTTTTAGCGGTTGTTTTAACATAAAAAAATAATGTTTAAATTTTTAAAATAATTAATATTACTCAGTTATGTCTAATTTACATTATTTGGTCTTGTTGTTGTTGTAACTAAAAGGATTACAAGACGAATACATGGGATAAGGAATGGAAAAGGTGGGAGTGAGTGTTGGGATTTGGTCTTAAATGCATTCGGCTTATAAATTGATTATATAATCGACAAAGACTAGCAATTGAAAATGAAATAATCACAAAAAAAAAAATTTTTTTGATTACTCTAAAATTACTCTAAAAAATATAATAAGTTAAAAAAGAAAAATAAATGAAATTCCATGAAATTTTCAAGTGAAATACTGCATTATTTTATTAAAGTCTTTCTCCGCTGTCACATCTATAAAATATAGGTATATAAAAGCCAGGAATTTATGTCAAAATTTCAAAGTTATATTTTAAAAATAAAAATGTTGAATAAAAAATACAAGCTGTCTACTTGGGCTTGTCTTTTAAAATTTTTGAAAAATTAAATATATTAGAAATATTTAATAGTAATCAACGTCTGACGTTGTAATCAAACTAACCGGTGTGAACATGAAATAATTAAAAAAAAAACCGTACAAGAAATGAAATTAAAATAAATGTTTTCAATCTCATTTTTTTAATGAGATTTTTAATCTTATTAGAAACGAATTTAAACAAATGAAAAATGTATAGATAAAAACTTACTTGGCTTTTGCGTGAGTCAAAATATGGGACTTTAAATTCGTTGATTGAGCAAATTTTTTGTTGCAGCCATCAAACGGACATACATATGGTCTATCTCCTGTGTGAATTCGCACATGTGTTCTTTTGGTTAAAAATATTTAAAATTATTATTTTTGTATATATGACTGTATAAAACATTACCTTAAATTAAAGTCCAGAGAAAATCTTTTGCCACAACCTTCGAATGTACACTGAAAAGGTTTCTCCCCAGTGTGCACAAGTTGATGTCTTTTAAGCTTTGAACTCTCTACAAAAGCTTTACCGCATTCAGCACAAACGTGTACACGAGGACCATGAGTATGCAGATGTTTTCGCATAGCCGAGTTATCACGAAAATATTTATTACAATCTTTATGCGGACATGCAATTTTTTTGTCAGTTACTAGCGAATTTTCAGTATTGATATGATTGCTACTGTATGTCAAAGGTGGAGGTGAAGATGATAAAGACGAATTAAAGTTATTACCAGGTTGTACACTGACAGTTCGAACAGATACTCCTTCTTGTACCGAAAATACGGTATTTGCAGAGGTAGAAGGTGTTATCATTGGTTGTGAAATAGGAAAACATTTTTCTCTATTGTCACTATCATTTTTTCTCATTTTTAGTTTATCACTGTTCGAATTTCGGGCGAATTCAGAAAGCTGTTTTGGATCTGACAAATCTAAATCTGGTAAAGTAGTATTAGATATGGAAGATAAATTTGTACATTTATTTATATTTTCTTGAGCTAGCATTTGTTGCTGTTTTTGTTGTTGTAATATTAACTGTTGTTGTAAAGATTGTTGTTTTTGAAAAATTTCATTTTCCGCACAATTGTTTTTAATCGATATAATTCCATTAACTCTTTGGTCCAGATTACTTGTGTTTGTTAACATTTTTTCATATTCATTATTTATTTCTATATTTGGTTCATCTTCGTCATCAGATGTACCTGATGTCCACATAGTAACACTAAATTCGCCTTCCATTGTTTTTATTTGTACAAGTTTTTGTTCCCATCGGCGTGGCTTAACAGTGTTTAAATCATCTTGTACATAAAGTTGACAACTTTTGTGTTGGCGTTGTCGATGCAAACGTGAGTTATGTTGTTTATAATTATTAGTAATGTGGGAGTTTGAAGGTATAGAATTGATCATATTTGACATATTTGAATCGGTTAGATTTGAAGGTATAGTTAAAGCTGATGTACTGCCTTTTGACACTATTTTAATTTTTCTAAAATTTAAATTCAAAATAAAGAACAAAGCATATAGAGACATTTAAATTTTTAGTTTAAATTAATTGATTTTTTATATTAGTTTTGTACAGAATGTTAAGAGTAAAATTTAAATCCAAAAATATATAATGACCCAAAACACAATAGAATAACCGCAACTCCAAGCGTTATTAATTTGTGGAGCACAAGGGACTACTATTTAACCATGAAAAGTATAATTTCAGATTGCAATTTATATTTAAACTACTAAACCGAACGATGGTAAATAAGAATGTTAGTAGAGAAGATTGCATAATTCGGCATTATATATATTAGTAACGTCGACCTTGTATTTTATTGCGCGTTTTATAGTTGTCATGTGATCTATTGATCCACACAACTAAAATCAAAACGCAACAAAAAAACCAATAGATTCCTTAAAAATTTATGCGTGTGTGCATTTGCTTTGCTGTAGAAACATTTAATTTATTGAAACAAGTAAAAAGATTCAACTAATATGTATACATTCAAGCCAATAAT